GTCACGAGTTTCTCTCGTCAACCGAGATTTCTCATACATTCGAAGTAAACGTGTGTTGCTCATTCATCGACTACTCCTGTTGTTAGTACCATAGTACTTTGTCCCAGCGCGTAATGGTAGTGCCATAGCGATGCAAAAATTTACGCACGTCTTTGCTTCTTGCGCACACCCTTGCCCTGTGATTCCTGCTCAGCAGCTTCACGTTCAAAACGAGACAGAAGCTGTAAGGCTTCGTCTGCCGTCGGCCGAGCACTCGGGTCTGTGTTCATCAACCGATCCAGGAAAAGCGCTCTTTCGGGCTCCGCAGTCCATTCCCGTTCAATCTTACTTGTCTTCACCAGGTATCCCACGGCCCATAAGTCAACCGCAGTCGTGTGGGATCCACCTTCCATAAAAATATCTGAAGCGTGTTCGTCGTGCGTCAAGTGATCGCCGCTGGGATATTTCTGCGGACTTTGAGCTGCATCAGCGAAGTCGATCAAAAACCATTCAACGCGGTCGATATGCTTGATCACGTTAGACCAACGGATGTCTCTGTGCATCCACCCGTTGCGATGGAGGACTACAAGGGCCTCGAGAACGTTCCCGAGCGCGACGAACAGTTCACTCAAGCTGCATGGCTTCATCTCAACGCCGCGGGGCTTAAGTGTCAACCTCAATTGGTCTGAATCCACCGTGACAACTGCATCGGCACAAGGAATCCTATAAGCTTTCAAAGAATCGTAGATCCGCTTCACGCGACGATACTCTTCTTGTGTGTGAAAGATCTTATCGACGAAAATCGGACTCAACCGCACCTTAACGCCATTGGCGCGATGGATGTCCATGAACTCGGTCCCTGCCGAGGCCGGACAGTTTTGCGCAATTGCCGGGAAAAGCAGACACAAATTCAGAAGTGCCAGTACAAGTCGAAAACGTTCCGGCGCATGCTGCAAGTTAAACCCTCCAATAAGGTGGGTTTTAACGTTGCCCGTGACGTCTTGATAGATAGCAAATAATTCTAGCTCGAAGCCCGACGCAGCATAGCCAAACACATACGGCACTCCACCGTAGGACCACACCAGTTTTTTAGAGAGCTCCTCACGAGGCACAGTGATAGAAGTACGAGGTTCTTTCTCCTCACCACGAAAAACACAGATATGATCCAAAGCAAACAAAAAGTCGGGTCGCTTCAAACCTGACAAGGATTTCCTGCTCGAATCCCGGTTGACGTAAGCACGCCTAAACACAAACCCGAGCACCACACGGATAATTGAATCCCAGAAATAATGAAATGCACTCTCTGTGGCATCCCCATCCACCTGCGGGTACAGGAACGCAGCGCTAAACACCGAATCTTTCAAAAATTCGCACGGCGAAATGTCGTTTAGCTCGAACAATTTATCTCGAAGGAGTTGGCCTAGTATCAATGGACTCGACCAAGCCTGAAATACAGACTGCGGTAACCCAATCTTTACAGGG